GACTTCAAGTCGCAGGCAGGGTATGTGTTTTGTTTGAATGGCGGAGCTGTTACCTGGAAGAGTTACAAGCAAGATACTACCGCTGATTCCACTACAGAAGCAGAGTACATGGCTGCAGCCGAGGCAACCAAGGAAGGTGTGTGGCTCAAGAATTTTATTACTGAGCTTGGAGTGGTTCCTAGCATCAAGAACCCTATACCGTTGTTTTGCGACAACAATGGGGCAATTGCACACGCGAAAGAACCTCGGTCTCATCAGAAGACCAAACACATCGTTAGACGTTATCACATCATACGAGAAATCGTTGCACGTGGGGACGTTGAGATTTGCAAGATAGGTACAGACGACAATATCGTGGATCCGTTGACGAAGGCTTTGGGAAAGCCTAAACACGAGAGTCATACGTGGTCCATGGGCATTCGAGAAATGTTTGATTGGCCTTAGGGCAAGTGGGAGATTGTTGTATTTAGGTGCCCTAGCGGCAATCAAATATCTATGTAACTGTACACTTTATCATGAATGAAAGGCCTTGAAGTATGTTTTATATCTCGTGTAACATAACATAGCTTCAGTCCATAGACGATAGCGCTTCAGTAACATAGATGAGGACTACGATGTTCTGATTATGAGACTGTTACTTCTTGACGAAGGCTATGTCTAGTATATCCCTAGTCGCACTTTATGATAATACGGTCGTCATAACGTATCAAGACTAGTACGTACGAGATGAGATAGTTGCGTTTCATAGACTATAGGTATTGTGATATCTTAATCTGTATGTAGGTGCATATTATATTGATAATATGTGACTGGATTGACCCATCTTGAGAATACTGCATGGATCTACAGTAATGTGTTTATCAGTATTCTAAAATCGACCTTGCTATAACTATCCTCAGACTTGAAGTTATTACATTCTCTGATATGTGGGGCCGTATGCTTTGATTCATAACTAATGCTATCTGAAATACTGGTAGACGTACAGTTATGCGTTGGGTATGCCGCTAAGCATATTTAGAGATGTGAATAACAGATACAGGATCTGTCCCTTCTACTGTATAGAAGTGTAATGTCAATGGGCCCACTGAATAGTAGGACTTGGGAAAGTGCATGGCCATGCCCAGATATGTCGCTATCTAGAGACTGATAAATATCTGATCCCTTCCAGTCTACTTGAGATTCAGTAACAGCTGATTTAACTATACAAGGATACACATCCCATGCCTTGTGTTAAATCATGACATTTAGGACAGAAGGATAATAGTTATAGAACATCTTGTGTCGTAGAAGGTATTGATGAGATGAACGTCTTTTTCATAATCTGGGGATAATAATGTGTTGCTAGATACCGCTTATTATCTATGGTATTAATTTATATTAATATCATTGCCAGTGTTATGGATACCTAAAGGGTCACACACTTAGGACTTGTAAGGGAGTAGTATACTGGACTAGTGAGAGTAATATTAAATATATAGTTGTGATAATATAATTTTATACGTATATATGTATTTCGAAAATACATATGTATTTTAAAATTATATTTTGTTTGTGTCATTTTAATTATATGATAATTATATTTTGACAAAACAAATTTTATTATATATATATATATATGTAGCGCCGATATATATATATATATTACTTTTATTTTCATCATTTTAATTATATGATAATTATTGATGCAAAAATAAAATGTAATGTATTTTAATATAATATGGCCGAAATTCTAAGGGGGAAAATACAAAACATATTTTGATATTCCACCTAATGATATATTTGATTTTATAATCAAATATTTGATTAACAAAAGTATACTTGTCTTGTTGTGTTGGTTGGGGACATTACACTAATCTCATTTTGTTTTTGTCCCTAAGCAATTTCCTAACATTTTCTTAATACATTGTATTATATAGTGTGAGTATCCCTCCCCATTTTAACATAATTTTTCGGCCATCCCATTTTAGAGAGGAGAAAAATCCTATTTTGTGTTCAAAGTCATTTTTTCTAAAGTGTTAGAAGTATACACAAAATATTATAAAGAAATATTTATAAGATAAATATTTTACTATATATTTATTACTCCCAAAGTAGTATTATTATAGTTTTTACTATCCTATATTAAACTTGCTAGCACAAGTTTAATCTTGGACTCCGGAGCAAGTTTGTGTGGATACGTTGGAGGCTTCATACGTTTGGCGCTACGTTCATCTCCTCAAAACCATCCCCGACCGTTCCTCCGTTCTCCGTTTTCACCGTTAAGGTAAATTTCTTACTATAGCTAGTAATTTACGTAAGTTGTTCTTGGGTGGAATCGAGTTTTGGACTATAAATTTTTGTTTTCTGCTGCGTTATCCAAGCCTCGTTTCCCAACAGTCTGTTCTGAGAGTTCGAGTCCACCTTGAGAAATCCGGCTCTTGGCTTGACAGTTCAGGATTAGTCATCCTGAGACTTCTGGGTGAGATTTGATAGAGCGATCCGCGCTAGTCCTCCGATCCGGATGACTTTGCCTTCATAAGGATGGCTGCGAGACTTCCGGGTAATACTTGAGTCTTTCGGATTTGTAGAATTCCGAACTACTTGACTTCATTGAGAATTCCTTTCTTGTCTTTGATATTTTTGAGCGAGAGTTCTGATTTCCATATCTTTGATTTTTGATAAGTCTTGAAAATATAGATGCTCAAATCTCAAGACGAAATATCATAAGTTTTATTTGACAAATTCAAGAACTTGGTTTTAACAATATTTCTAATAAAAAGAAAGTTACATTGAACAATGGGGGAGACCTAGAGTCCCTACTACAATCTAAATACATCATCATCAAAATCTATAATATTTTTCCCAACACACACACACACACACACACACACACACACACATATATATATAATGAGAAAGAAACTTATTTAACGAATAAACGGAAGGGTTACATCAGCCGTAATGGCTCCCTTAAAAAGGGGGGTAGAGTTGTGAAAGAAATACAAGATGAAATAAAATTGTTGTTGTTGCTCCATCTTGCTAAAGTATGTGCTCCCAAATTGCCCTCTCTAAAAATGTGTCGAATTGAGGTGCCATGTTGTTGGGACGCGTTATAAAGACGGTTCCAAAGTTCATGATTTAGACCCGGGTTTTTGCTTTTAAGGATGCCTTTTACGGTGGTCTCCGAGTCGGTGTGGGCCCAAATTTTATCAGTGAAGTGTTTCGACCAGATGATGCCAAGTAATAAGCCCAAGGCTTCTCCTTCCAGAATTGTTGGTGCGCTTAGTTTCCATGTGCTTGCTGCAATAAAAGTTCCTCGATCGCTGCGAAGAATTGAGCCGCTAATCTTTCTACTGTTGAGGAAGGAGATGTCTGTTGAGAGATGAAGGTAGCCTTCCGGTGGTGCTATCCATCTGTGGATTCTGGGGTATCGAGAAGGTGGTTGAATGAGCAGAATTTCATTAAGGGAAGGGAGTTTCTACCAAATTTGGTGAGGGTGGGAGGGAATGGGAGAAGGTTGAGGTATAGCCTCCATTGAAAGAAGGCCACTTTAGGGATTTGCTTTGAGCTCCAAGTGATCTGTAATGGTAAGATTATTTCCCCTTCCTCTTGTTGCTGAATAATATTGAAAGCTTCCTTGAAGCTTAGGTCTTGGATAGGTTGAGTAGTCCACTGCAAGTATTCCTCCGTATCTGCAAAAAAGTGGTTAGTAGCAACAGGATGTATAGAACAGATTCTTTTCCATATTGTGGAATCAATGATTTGGGGGTGGAAATTGTTCTCTCTAGGATATCTAGCTCTCATGAATTTACTCCACAGAGTGTCATTGGCATGAAATGTCCACCAAAGTTTGAGGCTATAGGCCTCCTGCATATTGCTCAGGGACCTGACCCCTAGACCCCCTTTATCTTCTGAAACACAGATTTTGTCCCAGGAAGCCCAGTGATAGTTGTCACTGGTTTTGTTGTCTCCCCATAGGAAAGCACACATTTTTTTGTTGAGAAGGTTCAGGACAGATTTAGGGATTTTGTTGATGGCTATAGTGTGTAGGGGGATGGAGTTAAGAACATGTTTGATGAGGATAAGCCTTCCACTATGAGAGAGTTGTCTTTTGTACCACCCCTTAAGCTTTTTGTCAAAGTGTTCAATGAGGTCCTTACAGTAAGGGCTCCTGTTAATCCCTCTGAATATTTGAACCCCTAGGTACTTGAAAGGTAGTTGGCCCTTATGCATGCCAAGAATGTTTGAGTGCCTGGTTATTTTGATGGGAGGAGTTTTGGGAGGGGGGTAGAAGCTACTTTTGTCTAGATTGATCCTTTGCCCTGAGGTTTCGTCATATGAGTTTAGAAATTTCCTAAACTTGTGTAGGTTAGAGGAGGCTCCATTAAGGAAAATGATGAGATCATCAGCAAAGGCTAGGTGGGAGATAGGAAGAAAGTGTCTGCCCATTCTGAAATGCTGGATGTAGTTACTGTCCATGAGGGTTTTTAGTGCTCTAGTGAAGCCTTCAGAGGCTATGATGAAGAGTAGAGGGGATAATGAGTCACCTTGTTTGAGTCCTCTGGTGGGGGAGAAGGGTTTAGTGGATTTGCCATTAAGGTTGATTGCAATTCTGGTGTTGGAGAGAATATTGTTGATGAGCATAATGAACCTGGGACTGAATCCAAAAGTCTCCAAAATATCCTTTAGGTATTTCCAAGAGACTCTATCAAAGGCCTTAGATATATATATATATATATATATATATATATATATATATATATATATATATATATATATATATATATATATATATATATATATATATATATATATATAAAAGAAGTTATTGAAGGAATCCAAACATCTGTCCTAATTTTTTAGATGTATTTCTTTCGTTTTCAGTTTTGGCTCTTTCTTTGGACCATCGTAGTCAAATGAAGCTCATGGGGTATGAAAAAGAACTACTTCAAATTTATGGCAAGGTTTGTATTGAGTTAAATCGATACATCAGATTTTACATGTCAAAGGATATTATTCTACAAGTAAGCACTTTGCTCTTATAGGTTATATGCATACTGAATTGCATCTTCTATATACTTTGAAGTTTGATTATGGATGATAGTGGTAACTTACAAAATTTAGTTGATTCTCATCTCAGTAATGCCTCCAAAGTCATTCAAATTTTTTTAATGGATACATAGCAGTCATGATGTGTCAAGTAACTATCCAACCCTAAGAATACAATGGAAGTCTAAAATATAAGATTAAATTTAAAACAAAACACTGCCTAAGTAAGTATATTCATTTTGATGCTCTATTCCTTATTCATATTATGTTAAAGTCTCTTTAGTCGCTGCTATATAAACGGCCAATGAGCTCCATACTTGCCCATGTATGTATGTTCCTAGATATCTTGCTTCCAAATCCGGTCAGAAGAAAATTCACAAAGAGAATTTATCACTAGAGGTCTACATTTTTCTTAGCCATGAAAAGTGATTCCGTAGTTTGTTATGTTCAAGCCGGAGTCTTTTTGAAATAGTCTCTCTACTTCCAAGTAGGGGTAATTGAATAAAGTGATATTAATGTATCGTACTGAAAAGACAAATTGTTAAGGTAATTGACTCATCCGTATACGCTATTGACGTGCAAGATCGCGACGTGGTCACTACAAAACATGCAGCTGTGAAACCACCAATGGATGAATGAAAGATGAAAAGAAGCGATTGATATTAACATGATACATTGCGATCTTATTCCAACACAAATACAACTTGGATTACTTAAGTAATATTATAAATGTAATTCAAAGTCTAATCTTCCGGGATTTACAAACTCGTTGTAACTAGCCCCAGGACTAAGGAAAAATTTATCCAACTCTAGTTTGTCTAAAAGCTCACCAATAAAGAAAGAAGAAATAAAAAGTTTCCTCTGACTCAAAGACATGAAGTTCTGCCTCACCGCATCATCTACAAATTTGAGAAGGTTATTGAAATAACCGTCAATGTTTAAGAGACCAATGGATCTACTGTGTAACCCTTTAGAAGCCCATGAGATTCAGGTGAACAAACCTTCCATAGTGTCAACTTCTCCAGAAAGTACGATGAAAGCCTTCACGACATGATTCATTTCGAAATACTTATAGTAGTTGTTGGAAACTGTGTACTCTACACCGTATGTAGGTTTGTAGACCCGTTGTGTTGCAATATACTCTAGTATAAAGCCTCTAACTATACCACCATTGGTATAGACTGTTGAAGCCACAACTCCTTGAAGGCCAACATTACCTCCTACATAAGTAAGTCCAATTTTTTGCCTTACCAATTCCCTTCCCAGATCTACCGTCGTAGCCATGAACTTTGGATTCCGACCAAGGGCATGACTACCAAGTAGACCAATCGATTTTATGCTGTAAGGAAGAGTTCGAGAAGTTCCTTCCATGATGTGAGATACTCTTTCCAATACACACACACACACTATAAAACCAGACCATTGAGGGAAATGTAATTATCACTAGCTGAAATGAATATAGAAAAGTGGATTCGCTAAAATAGTAACTTCGATTTACCTTTAGACGAGCACGTACTCACCAATTCTACAGTATGCTGACGATATGACATATCGAGACTCATGAATAGTTAGATTCACTGTCGTGAAACACGTTCAAATCTTAGACGAAAGTTAAAAATTGCTAATGTCTAAGACAAAGACCCATTGAGTAACTTCCAAAGAGTGAAACATTGAATGATGAAAACTTATCTTTGTATCTTTTGATTCATATCCTTGAAAATACTCAAACTTGCTGTGTTGATTACACACTTGAAACATCCCACTTGATCAAACTTGGAAAGATTGAATTCCATTGTTTGTATCAAACCATTGAAAACTTGTCCTTACTCACAGGTCTTCATTAAATCTAAAAGATGCTTTATGATACTGATCTTCGCGAACCATACTCTGTGAACTACGTGACTTGATCAAAATGGTAAAAGTACCCTGACTTGAACGTTATGTTGAACCTCACTCTGTGAACCACAAAATGATGGATGCGATTGCGTTATCTCTGAAGATTAATATCGATGATCTTATTGATCAAACAAACTCTGTTATGACCCTAGCAAGGGAACGTATGTGCCACTACCAGAGAAGAAATGAAATCACAAGGATCAAGCTGAATCATTCAAGCGAAAATCCCGAACCTATATGCGATGTTGGTGTAAGAACTAGTAATATTCCTTACTCTATGAATTCATGAATTGAATCACGTACCGAAGATATTCTCTTCTTCCCTCAAAACGAGATCAACCATAGTGTTACAATCAAACCTGTCACTATCATGAACATATCATGATATATTTCCAAATCGATGAAAGAATGTTGAATACAACAAGACGTATATGAGATGCCACTCGAATGTCATCAATTATGAATATGAGTTGATACAAAGATTCATTAACGATAAAGAGAATTACCACGAAGTGAATGAAGAAATGTTTTGACGTAAGATCGATGATGACGAGCTACTATACAACCAGTCGACAGTATTTCCTCACAAATGATGACAAATCCCATATTCTGAAAATCCTAAACCAATAAAAGCAATTTGATGTTACTTACGAGTCATTGCTGAACTATATAAACGATGTGAAGATGTCTTGAGTGACTTAAAACATTACTCTAAGACGTAGGAATTGAAATGAACTCCAAATCCCCAACTGTACCTACCGTGAACATGATGATTCAAAACTAGAAATGCCATTGAAGGGCTTTCGATCAAAGAAAGAATATCTTTAATCAACGTTGTGCAAATGAGAATTATGAATGAACAAAGTGTGTGCAAACATGTCAAGTATGCTCCAAAATACGATGTTATACACTGTAAAGGAACCTTAGTTATTGACGTTGACTCTAAACAAGAATCTGTAAAAAGGATCGTTGTATACCTCGAAGAAAAAATGAATTTGATAACATCAAAGGTTTGAGAATGTGGATCCGTGTGGATAACGATATAATCATGATTTAACTAAATAAACATGACAAAGTCATGATTAACGTGAATAAAACAAGATATTTATCGTTGGGCCTTAGAAGAATTTTGAAGACGAAATTCCTTTTAAGGGGGAAGAAATGTAACGGTCAGAAATACACCCTAAAATTTTTATTAAACTCTTGTTCAATTAAATAAAAATTGCTTTATTTAAAAAAATTATTGTTGGGCTTTGGGCTAAAATGAGATGTATTTTGATATCCAATATCACAATCTGGATTAGTCTCATAGAGATAAATCCAATATATATAGACTATTATGTAATTTTGATTGGGAACCAGAGTACACACTCAAATTAAGAAATAAATAAAGAATTTGTTTATGATGTGAAATTTTAAAATGATTTATTTCAATAAATCATAATATGAATTAAATGAGAGAATCTTTTTAAATAAAGGTCAATTAAATCAATTTTGACTCTGGCAAAGTCAAACACCCAAAAATATGATGTCGGAAAAAGTATTACAAATAAATATAAAAATTATATTGTTGGATAGTGTTTAACTGTCCTATTGCAACGATTCAATCAGATTTTAATTCCAAGAAAGTTGGAGCAAAAAGTATACCCCGACTGGGACCAAATTATTCCCAATCAGGGGCTTCTATTTGAAATCCGAAGAAATCTCCGTACGCTCCACTCAGCCACGCAAATAGGAAAATAGAGACATCACCATTGGTAGCTTCCTCTTCTTCTCCTATATAAAGACCATTTCAAATCTTTCAATTTCTCACCATTCTTCACAATTCTTCTTGATATTATTGTTGCTCTAAGTGAGGAGAATGCAGTGCTGCTGTCAATTTGGTGAGAGGTCGCCCGAGTTGGGAGTAATCCTCGTCGAAAGTTTCACCGGAAAAATCTCAAAACCTTCGTTAAGCTTCGAGGTAAGCCCGTAGATATACCTAGTGACTAGAATGTTTGTATAGATCGTTTCAACGTTCATAAATGGTCGTTTGGTTGAATTTTGTGTTTGACATGTTTGAAGAACCAAGAATCATAAACCTTGAAATTGTTGTTAAAACTGCGAACTAATGACACTAAAATGATCTATGAACCTTGGAGAACTTTTCTATATAATTTAATTTACGTTTGGTGACTAAAAATGACATTTCCAAAAATTGGCCCAAGGTTGAAGATGACACTGTTCAAAACTACGCGCAGAACGGTAGCCAGCTACCGTCCGGACGGTACCTTGGTACTGCCAAAACAGTAGGCTGTCCGGTCGGAACGGTAGGCTAGCTACCATCTCTGCTGCGGAAAATATTCCCCTCTGGCAGTACCTGATGTAAAATGGTACCCCGTACAGTTTGCACGGTACCGAGGTACCGTGCGCCGGTACCAAGGTACCGTTAAGGGTACTGTCTCACCCAAGAAGTTTTCAGAAAAATGATTTTGAAATATTAAATCCTATTTTTGATATCAAAAAAGTATAATCAATATGGAATTGATTTCAGAAGTAAATATGATGTTTTGATAAATCCAAGAATCTTGTTTGATGCATGACGACGGTAAGCTAGGTTGTTAACACTCGACGCTAGACCGCTAATTGTTATTGAATATTACAATGATTATTACTATGAATGATTATGATGATTGATGATTAAATATTGATGAAACTACTGATTAAAATGATTATTTTGAACGATTAAACCATGATTAAAAATGAATACATTGATGATAATGAAATGATTTGTATTGTAAAGGATATCTAGAAGAACTCGTTGTTAGAATAAGTGACCAACGCTAGAGGGGGGGTGAGTAGCGTTTGATCGTAGAAATTGCAGGAATAAAAAACTTAAAAGAGAAGTAAAGAGATGAGTAAGAGGCACACCGAATTTTACCCTGGTTCACCACAACTTGTGGCTAATTCAGCCTCCCGAGAGACTCTCTCGAGCTACACTACTTCCGTTAAGCTTACGGGTGCTTAACAAACCGTTACAACCTGAGAACTCGAGTCCCACGAGCCTCAACAACACTTGCTCGGAGATACCGCACTCCAAGACTTCAACCCGAAGGAAAATACCTTTCCTTCGTACAACCAAGGGAAACAAGCTTCCCTTAACAAGTATACAACACTAAAACACTCAAGAACAAGGCTCTCTTTTAGAGTAGATGTTGAGTAAACTATATACGCTCAAGAACAACTCAAACTTCACAAATTGGCTCTAGAAAGCTATGAAAAATGATGTTGTTTGAATGCAATGATAATATGAATATTGTGAAGTGAATTGCTAAGAAAAGCAGACCCAAACACCCCTTTTTATAGTGCCAAAATAGGCTCCAACGGACCAATGCATTAAAGGGGTGATTGGCTTGATTTAAGGGATTGAATAAATTTGGGATCTGCAGGATATTGCCTTCCCATCGATGTTTGGAACTTACCCATCGCTGGTAAGCCAATTTTCCTTCAGTTTTGAAGCCAACGGTTACCTACCCATCGATGGGTACAAGCTTCCCATCGCTGGGTGGGAGGTTGACTTCCAAACACGGAAAGAATCAACCTTAAATGACTTCCAACGGTCATGCCTTCCCACCGATGGTTTAGCCTTCCCATCGCTGGGTTCCCATCGATGGGTAAAGCTTCCCATCGCTGGGTAAGGGCATTCTGCCTTGTGATAATGTTGGACCAAGGCTTGAACAGCGATGGGTAGAGCTTCCCATCGCTGTTTGGCATGGTTCTGGAAGTTGGTTTGGCTAAGGGGCTACCTACCCATCGATGGGATGTTCTTCCCATCGCTGGGTGGGTGGTTAGCCAAAAACCTATGGTTTTTGCCTTAACCACGGCCTAGCCAACCGATGCAAAAACCGACCGAAAAATCCAAAGTTCTCCAAAATAAAAACCAAGTGTTTAAAACACTTATTTGATTTATTTGGCTAAGAAATCAAGTGAGACACTTTAAAAATCACGTCATTTGAGTAAAAACCACGGCTAGCCAAGTTTACACCGTTTTGCGTGGTTTTTGTCAAACGACTAAAAGTGAGAGATGGCTTTCAAAGTGTTTTTGTTGGAGAACCGTTTAGACATGCCAAAGAGTGAAAGAAAATCATGAAATGCTGAAAACCACTTGGTTGGTTCGGATGCCAAAAACCAAACCCAACAACCGAAAGCCGAACGCTGGTTTCTGAAAACCGAACACTGGATGGCTTGGTTTTTGGTTTGGGCGAACACCAAGTGTTTTTAATGACTTAAACAAGTTTGAAAAACATTTTTATGATGTAAGAAATGCAATGAGAGACTTTAGCCTAAAGAGCCAAGGTTTAAAGATTGGGTCGGTCTTGATCACAATAAAAACCGACTCAATACTATGATTAAGGTCTTCGTTCTTGGTCTTCGTTTAGCTCTTGCTCTTATCTTCGTTCTTCGCCTTGTATATTCAATGTTCAACTTGATCACGGCGGTTTGGCATTATCAAAACCTGTTACAAAAACGAACACGGCTTTAGTACGAAAACGTGACAAGCCCGTGTTTCAACAATTTCCCCCTTTTTGATAATGGCAAACGAGATGAGGTTATGCATAGGAGGATTATTTTGAAAAAAAATGTTCCCCCTTAATAGATGCCATTTTACAAAGTAAAAAAAAATCCCCCTCAATTTATGCATAACGTTAATATCTTCCCCCTTTTGACATTAACAAAAAGAATTAAAAGTAAGCTTTAGAATTGTAAAAGTAAACTTTTATTCATGAAAGAGGGAAATGCGGAATACAACGGAATGGAAATAAAAAATACAATCATAGTAAGAAGAGAAAAGAAAAGTCTAAGCATCGGCGTCCTCGTCGTCCTCGACGTCCATGGGATCGCCGTCGACCGCATCTACAAAGTCGGCCTCGTCGGGGGAGGATGATGGAGCATAGGAGTTATCCTCCTCGTCCTCGCCTTCATAGTTATGGCCGAGGAAGGTGCTGCAAAGGGTGGCGGGACGTAGTTGATGCTGCGGAAGAACGCCGTCATGTCGTGGTGTTGGCGTTGCAGCGTCCAGTCCATCCGCTCAATTGACTGCCCCATGCCATCCATTGTGAGGGTTAGCCAATTCAGAGTATCGGCTATGGATTGCAAAGAGGCCTTGGCGGGAGCGGGGGCTGGTGCACGACTTGGGCCTGCGCCGTCCCGGTCTCCGAACTTCTTCCGGAAGGTGCTGTCTTGAATTATCCAAATCTTTGTCATCTTCGTATCCAGGCCGGCGATGGAGATGTCGGCGGAGATGATGAGGTCCATGACGAGGAAGGCGTATGGCAAGCTCTGCTCAGTGGCGATGGAAGCGCAATCTGCCATGTGGATCATCACGAATTTCGCCCAATTGATGGAGGCGCCGTGGATGATGGCGTGAATCGCCTTCAAGTCCTCGTTGAAGAGCAAGGTATGGCTGTTGTCCCGGGGGGCGGAGAATCCGGGTGATGATGTAGAGGAGGAGGCGCTTGTCCGGTGGGGCCGAGTGAATCGTCGGTGCGCCGCTGTGGCGGATCAAGTTGGTAATCCCAAGCTCACGAATGACGACCGCCTCGTTGTTGAGGATCCAATCGTTGCCACCATAAGTTGTGATGTCGTCACCGCGGATTGGCAGCCCTGCGACCCGAGCAAAGGTAGGCAAATCAATCTCTATGTCGTAGAGATTGATGCTGCTGCGAATGGTGTCCCCGTCATGGTGGAGATTGGAGTAGAAAGCCCGGACGAAGGCGGGATTGAAGCTCGAGCGGCTCTTGGAGACGAATGGCCACAAACCCGACGCTTGGAGTTGGTTGTCGAGGTCGTGGTACCCTTTGTCTTGGGGAAACAACTCCGGGAGCACGCGAGGTGGAGAGATCGGGCGCTTGGCAAAGTGAGTGAGGAAGCGTGTGAGTTCTTCCTCCGACCCGAACTCAAGAAATGAGCCGTCTAGATAGGGAAACGGCTGGGGTGCAGAGGTCGTAGCTTCGATGTTGGTCTTCATCTTGGAGGCCTTGCTCTTAGATTTTCCTCCGGCCATAGCAGCGTTTATGAAGAAGAAGGAATGAAATTTGATTAGGAGATTGAATTTGGGATGTAAATTTGTGATTAAGAATGATAAAACAAGGTGTGTATATATAGGGAAGGAGTGGAAACCGGATTGAGTTCAAAAAATATGACTGTTGGGCATTAAATTCCTTGCCCAACGGTCAAAAAATTTGAATCGCAGTAGGCTTCCCAGCGATGGGTAGAATTTCCCATCGATGGGAAGGTCGCCACTGGAAAGCGAAGGAAGAACCCAAAGATGCCTTCCTAGCGATGTTTGGATTTTCCCATCGATGGGAAGGTGGCTTCTGGAAATAGACGAAGAAAGGAATATGGCCTTCCCAGCGATGTTAAAACCATCCCATCGCTGGGTTGGTAGTTTTGAAAAATCCGTTAAAATTTTTTTTTAAAAATAGTGTCAAACACCCAGAGATGGGAGAAGGTTCCCATCGATGGGTTGGGAGGTTTTGAAACAAAAGCAAGCACTCACCCAGTGATGGGATAAACTACCCATCGATGGGTAAAGGTGTTCTGGAAATTTGTTAACCATTTTTTTTTTAAAAATAGAGTCAGTAACCCATCGATGGGAGGAAGTTCCCATCGATGGGAAGAGGGGTTTAGAAAGCAAGAAGCTTCCCTCCCAGCGATGGTATAGCCCACCCATCGCTGGTTCCCCCTGACTTCCGGATTACTTCACTTTGGACCGTCCCTGCTAAAAAGAACAACACTTTGGTACCCAAAGTAAGTCTATGGGTCCTTGGGGGTTAGTTTACCTTTATTGCCCACACACACACCCAAAATATGTTTCCACATGCGCACACACACACATACACGATTAAATGATTGTTTAGGAGTTACCTTGGCCAACCCATCGTCTCGTGGTTAGCGGGTTCCAATCTACCTGAACGGAGTGCCGATATCTCGGTGTGATTTATGTCGGTTCCGGTAACGGAATGTGGACATTCTTCTTTTCGTCGAAGTAGAAGAAATAATAAGGTTTCTTTTGTGCATTGTCCTGTGGAGATTGTTTATGATTTGAATATCCTTTTCCAAAGGATTTCTTTTCATTAGCACCAAATACGTTGTGTGTTTCATTGTAGGTGAAGTGCCTATGTCTGGTGAAACACACGGGAGCTATATGTCCTACCCTATTGCAATAGTGGCATACTACGTTTGGGTTGAACATGTGCCTAGGTTGATAATAGCTAGGGGGCCTAACCATATTCATCCTATTTTGGGAAAATATTGGTTTTTGAAAACTCT